GCCCATACCCCTATCTCGTCCCGCCCGTCCCCCGCGCCTGGTCCCCCCCTTCCCCTGCCGGTCGGTGCGCGGCCCGGCGCGCCGCGCGCGGCGCCCGCCCTCGGGCTGCCCGACGCCCGCGCCCCGGCTGCGCGACGACCGGGCGGGCGCGTTTTTCTAGGCCGCGCCCTCACACGCCCGTCAGAGAACGGCCCGAGCCCCGCCAACCCTCTGCCTCGGCCCCGCGCCGCGCCCTCGTGTCAAGCAGGGCGCCCCCTGTCTCGGCGCCCCCTCCCACCCCCTCCGCCCATTCGTCGGGCGCCGCGTTCCCCTCACCGCGTGTGCATGGATGCACCCCTTTGTCCAGAAACCGCGTGGGCAGCACTGACCGCAGCAGCACCGATTTTTGGCCTCTTCCTTCCCACCGCGCGCGGCCCCCAGCCAGCCGCCCGCCCGGCCGCAGCGGCGCCGCCGACCCCTCCAAACCCTGCCGCCTGTTCCTTCCGATGCACTGATGCAACCAAACCTTGGGCGGGCCCCGGCCCCGCGAGCGCCCCCAGAGGCCCCCGGTGGAGGCCTCTGGGGGCCGCGGGGGTTGAGAGGGCGGGCGGGCTCTTCCTGAGTGAACACTGGCTGCACTGTGATGGGCAGGGGGAACCGTTTTTCTTCCTTTCGAGAGCGCCGCGGCTGGCACCAGCCAGCGGATGGGCGTGCGCCAGCACGCGCGGCGCGAGCGCCTGTCACCTGCAACGCACCTCGCGCACGGGCGGGCAGCTGGTGCGCGCGCACCGCCCGCCGCCCCGCATTGTAGAGCAGCAGTTGCGCAGCGGCGCACAAGCATGTATGCAATGTTTGTGTGTAACTTGTAGTTATTTTCAAACCATGTTCGTCGTGTGCACGACTGAAATGGGGCCACACGGGCAAGCCTGTTAACAGAAGGTGCTAGCAGAACGGCATGTGCGTGCCGAGGGCGCCCCGCACATCGCGACTGGCTCACCCAAAGAGCTGCCGCCACCAGCTGCCGCCCGCCGTAGCTGCTGCTGCGACCGGCGGCCCGCCCGCCTGCGGCCGCTGTGATGGCTGCTCCCCCACTTCTTCGCTCAAACCGCCCTGCCGTGGAGCCTGGCGCCGCTGCTGCTGCTCCTGCTGCTCCTGCTGCTGCTCCTGCTGCTCCTTCTGCTGCTGCTGCTGCTGCTGCTGCTGCTGCTGCTGTTGCTGCTCCTCCTGCTCCTGCTGCTGCTCTGCCTCCTGGCGCTGCTGCTGCTCCTGCCGCCGCTGCAGCTTCCTGGCAGCTGCCCTCGCGTCCGCCTCGCGATCCATCCGTCTATACAGCTCCGCCACCTCGCGCTCCTTCAGCGCTTTAATCAGCTGGGTCTGCGCACAGCGCGCACAGCACGCACAGCAGTGGGCGCCGACACAACTGTCATCAGCGTCACAGACGTTCCATGGGGGCAGCCAAGGGGCAGCACAGGCGAGGCAGCCGCGACCCGAAGCGGCGAGAGCGAGAGCGAGGTAACGTGGCAGCAACAGCAGCTAGTTGTGGGCGGAGCCGCGAATCGCGCCGGCTGCGGCACAGCCGCGTCCCCGCGCCCTGCACCCCGCGCCCCGCGCCACGCCCCCCACGCGTGCGCACCCACCTGCCGCCGCTCGCTTAGCTCATGGAATTCCAGCCCCTCTTCCTCGGGCAGCAGGGGGAACGCCGGCGGCGCGTCGCCCGGCATCCGCCGCCGCTGCTGCTGCTGCTGCTGCTGCCGCTGCTGCTGCTGCTGCCGCTGCTGCTGCTGCTGCTGCTGCTGCTGCTCTCGAGCCCCGGCAGGCGCGTGCTGCTCGCCCGGCTCGTCCAACAACCCCTGGGAGATGAAGAACGCCTCCACCATCCGCCCCGGCCGCAGCCAGTCGTTCGCAGCGTGCGCGGCGCCGCAGGCCGGGCCCCAGGTGACCGCGCCCAGCAGCATGTACGGGGGCCCGGCTGCGGGGTGGTTGGGGGGCAGAGGGGCCCAAGATGATTCACGTGGTGGGGCAGCAGGGGATCCACAAAAGGAGGGGGAAGGACCAACCTGGGAGGTTTCGCCCTTTTCGGACGCGCAACTGAATTTCTTCGCCCAGCCCGGAGCCAGGGTCCCGACGGCCACAGCTAGGGCCTGCCGGCTGCCTGGCGTCAAGGGGACCAGCGTCGGGTCCTGCGCGGGCGTCTGCTTTGCAGGCCGCCGCATGCAACACTACTTCCCACCGGCGGCGGCGATCCCATGCCAGGCTGTCCCGAGCAAACAGAGTGCAGCGGGCCATCCGTGAAAACCACCCCTCACCTCGTAGCCCCACGAGGGCGGCGCCAGACAGGGCGCCGGCCGCAACGGTGCCCCACGCGTCGCTGTGGCCGCCGCGCAGCGCCCGGATGCCCTCCTGGGCGGCTGAGGGGATGGGGCATTGAGCGTTGTTATGGCGATGCTCAGGCCGGTGTGACGCAGAGACATTTGGCTGTGCGCGGCAGCTGGCCGCTCTGCTGCGCGGGCGCCTAACTCGGCAGCCCTGGAGTCCATTCGCCTCCGCACAGCAGTTGAAATAGCACGAACGCAGCCGCCGCGCGCCCCGCGACCCTCAATCACCCGCTAGGGTCGCCATTGCGGTGACGCAGTTGACGGTGATCGGCACGGCGTATCGCAGGATGGGCCTGTTCACAAGCAACACAGAGCCACACGTCGGATGTCAGATGCTGGCTTACTGCTGCACAATTGCGCCTCCATGCGTCGTGGCTACAGGCATCGCGACTAATCAATGCTGCCGGACGCAGCGGAGCAGAAGGCGCAGCACGAGCAGCAGCGGCAGCAGCGGCAGCGTCGCGCAGCAGTGCATCGCCGGGGCTGCACCTGCTAGTGGCAAAGCAGAAAAGGCTCGTCAGGCTACCACTAGCCAGCGCGGTGGCCGTCACTTTAGCCTGGATCCGCGATAAAGCACCCGCGGTGTCAGCCTCGGTGAGCTCCATGCTCGAGGTGCTAGCTGGTCAAATGAGTCCAAGTTCCCACGAAGAGTTATAATCCTTGTACTTGCGTGCACACCCCGTTCAGTGATCTGATGAGCTGGTTCTGGTGGGGCAGCAGGTGCGACCCAGTGGGCGCCCGCAATATAAAAATGCGAATAGCGATCCCCACTGTGTCCTGAGTGCAGTCAATGCGCAGAGGGCCCGATCCCCCGCTCCTTTAGATGCGTGCACCCCGCTAATTACACAAACACACACACACACACACACACACACACACACACACACACACACACACACACACACACACACACATGCGCGTGCTCTCGCTTGCTCTTGCATACAGGGTGATGACCTCAACCGCCTTGTGCAGACCATCCTGACATCCATGACAAACAGCGCGCTGGCGGGGAGAATCACGATGCCTGTAATCGACAGGACCACGTTTGGCCTGAAGGGCACCGTCCTCCGCATCGGCTGCTCAACTCGGGCCGCCGGCATAAGGCTGCCAGCCGAAGGCTATTACCAGTTCGCCTTTGCCTACCGCATCAAGCCGTGAGTGGGACGACCGCGCGCGCACCCTCGTTTTTCACAGCAGTGTCCCCATCAGCCCCTTGTCAGTTGCGCCTGCCTTCGTTCCCCTGAGGGCATGCAGACGCGCCCGCCTCGTGGGATCCACTGAGCGTTGGCGCCCCGTGCGCCCTGGGCTGTTTGCCCCGGCCTTCGCAGGGTTTTGTGGGCTTCGGGGTACAATTGCCCCTCAAGCTTGGCTCCATTGTTATGGTTCTTACACCCAAACCACACATCACGCCATCATGGACATGCACCCGTGACCGCACGCTTCACGCAGGCCGTCGATGACGACCGTGGCCACCGCACCCAGTGTGCCAGGGGTGCCCGGCGGAGTTACCGGGGTGCTGACTGCCGCCTCCAACCTGGCCTGCGCGTGCCGCAACACATACCGCAACCCTGTCACTGGGGCGGCGATCTCCTGCACCTGCTACTTCGCCGACCAGTCGCGCGCGAGGTCCTGCACAGGCGCTGAATTTGGCCAGGCGTCGCGCCTCTGGTATCGCGACTGCTGAGTGTGCAGGCGGGCGCCGATCCGCGGCAAACCTCGAGGTAGCAAAGGGGAAGCGCCCCACCGGGCAAGCTGTCCGTGCCTCATGTGATCGCCACAGCAATCTAGTTGGGCTGTGTGTATGTGCATACCTCGCCCCAGGCCCGCCTGCCAGCGGGCTCCAGGGCGCTGCAATTTATCCTGCCCTAGTGGTCTCCCTGCGTGCCGTAAACGGGCCTCGCAGAACGTATCTCATCATGGCACAGCTGCGCAAAGCAAGCGTCACGGTTGATGTTGTCCCCCTGCCTCTGGTCTGCGCTGTGCCCTCACTTCTGCTGTACGCACTTCTGATGTTCATGTGCCGTCCACATGATAATGATCCTGTGCGCCCCTCCCATTCGTGTGTGCCCTTGAACAGCGGCATCTGAATCCCACCTCTGCTCTTGCCGCGTGTGCAGCGTGCAATGATCGCCGCGGCGGCGCATACCAAAGCGCGCTAGAACTTGAGTTGTTGCTCATGCCGGCAATTTTGCGCCCCCTGCCTCCTCATTCCTGCGCCTCCCGCCTGCATGCAAGATTTGCCTTACAACCCAGCTGATGGTTCTTCAAGCTGGTCTTTTACCTGTGCACACTGCACCGCCCCACAACACACACAGCCGCTGCTTCACAATACTGCTTTCCATGCCCCTTTTGCTGCTCGCAAACTGCTTTCAGCAGGGCGCAACGGGCTGCCTGTTTGTCATGGACCCTCCCTCGAGGAAAGTGGGTGGACACATGGACATGGGGCATACATGCCTGGATTGCTTCAACATATCAAAAAGTGCCTCTGCTGATTTTCATACAGTGTGTGCCGCTGTGCATCAGCTATGAAACCACCCACCCATTTGCTGGCTCTGCACAGTTAGGATCTAATGCTGTGTGTTTTCACAAAGAGAAACGGGCTTGGTCTGTGCGGCGTTTATCTCACCACGTGAGCTCGCATGTTCCACCACCAGGCGCACTTGTTTTTAGGTTCGAAGCCATCTCACCGATGCGACAATGCACGTATGGTTGTAGCGGCCGACCGGGCTGCGCATGTCACTCGCCCGAGGGTTGCATGCGCCATGCTGACCCGTTTGTGCAATTGGCCGTTCACCGCAACTCATCAACACATCTCGATGCGGTTCGGAGCTGCCCACACCCAACAGCCACTCCACACCATTGGGCTGAAGCACTTGCTGGCAACACATCTCCGTGCGCGTGCGCCGAACCCGCTGTTCGAGCCCGGTCTAGGACCACGAAACGTGTGGTGCATGCCTGTCGTTTGCTATGAGCCCTGGCATGGTCTGAATCACACCGATTACATGGGTGGTCGCTTCAGCTTCCTGGGAAATGTTAGCCCCACCACCCTCAAGGCCCTCACAGGGGTTCGACTCGTCCTTCGACGGCCACCCATCGGCACTCGGGGCCTGCGGCCATGCACTGGCCAGTTTCCCCTCACCTGATTACGCACTTGTGCAAACTGGCGCGCTCTTTGGTTTCCCGCACGTGCTGCAGCCGCGGCGCTTTGCTGGGGCGGGCGGCTGCTCCGCGGCGGAGCGAAGGGCGGGCACGCGAGCGTTGTACGGCGGTGCTGTATATGCGTGGTTGGCGCTCCTGGCACGACTGGCCTACGCCAATAGCAGTGTGCTGGCTGATGCTCTCCCAAATGATGTGTAAACCAGCCGGACGAGGTTTCGTGTGGTCCTTAATCTGGGAGTTGGGTGCTTTCGTCTGCTGGGGTCGCCGCTGACCTGGCGCAGCCTGTGCGACCGTGCGGATATAGCAGCGCCACGTGCCCCACGACTGCCGCTGTTGGCCGAGTATGCGTGCAGGCTGGGCCAAGGTTGAATCTGTGGGGTGCGCCGGTAGGAATAGCAGCTCCCAGGGGAGACCTTTGCAGTGTGGGCCATTGCAAATCCCGCATGGCTGCACTGCACCCTGCGGCCTTGCCCTACCCGGGAGCCCCCCACGCATGGTTACATAGCAAGCTGCATCCTTGTAACGGCGAGTTTCAGCAAGCAAACAGCAAGCAGGCGCTTGCAACAGAGCAAGCAGGTGCTTGCACAAACAAATGCCCAAACAGACGTCCGAGCGTCGCGGTAGCGCGCTTCCAGGCATTCATTGCTGCATGCATATGCAACAAAACGCCTGCAGATAAAATGAGTAAAACAGCGCCCCAACTGCGGGCAATAAAGGACCAGGTTGCCGCCCTGCGCTCGCTGCTGCTTGTCAAGAGAGCGAGGTCGCAGCAATGCTAGCTGCGGGTGCGAGGTGCGCATTGTTGCAGCGCACGTGGGGGCCACATTGGCGCACAGGGGGTGCGGCAACAGGGGATGGGCCGACGGGTGGGGTCGACAGTGTGGGGGGCCTGTCCTGAGCGCTTGTGACAGCGCGGGGCGCGGGGCGCAGCCGCAATGGGCCAGACAGAGTGCCATTGATGCGTGTGCGAATGCGCGGCACTGTCAAGCGGTAAATGCGGTCGAGCGGGCGGGCGTGGCGGCCTCGAGAGCTGCCGGCAAGCTTGGTAACAAACGCGTGGTTGCAACGCAGATGTGCAGCTCCTGCAAACCTGCGGCTGGGCCTGGTGAACGAACAGAGTGGGCGCGGGGTGCGCCTGCCGCGGCTCAAAACGTGCGGCAGTGCGACAAATGGGTTTCATCAACGCAGAGTGGTGATATGCATTCCTGTAGCTGCTCTTGTCGCGCCCGCTGCTGGGGGGTGCGCAAGAGCCACGGGCCCTGCGACGAACATGCATTTATGCTGCCTGTGGCTGTCTAGGCCTGCCCCTGCTGCCGCTGCCGTGCAGAAACTTCTGCCTGCACGTGCTGCTGCTGCTGCTGCTGACGCCGCTTCTGCTGGTCGAAAGCCATCAAAGCAGCAAACAGCACCAGCATCAACCGGGGCTGCACCTGCGGGGCGCGCCATTGGCAAGGGGCAAGGCCGGCAACAAAGGCATGATCAGCAAGCCAGATCTTGACGCCGGAGATGAAGAGCGATTGGGGGGTTGTCCGGATAGCCAAGATGAGAGGCGGCGCCCAGAGCCCAGCGCCAGCACTTATTGGAAGAGCCGCGCTCCCACCAGACCACACGCCCACCTGCAAACCCACCCACTCATCCACCTGCGCGTACACAGGCGCACGGGCCCACACGGTCGCGTGCACACACACACACACACACACACACACACACACACAAATACACACACACACCCACACACAAACACACACACACACACACACACACAAACACACAAACACACACACACACACACCGCCAACCCCCTTCCACCCACCGAGGTGACGTCATTCCACAGCAGGAACGTCGACACCCCAATCCGCCGCGCCACCGCCAGCGCGTACCGCGCATTGGCCTCGCGCTCCGCCGCGTCCGCACCGGGCGCTATAAACGCGGGGTCGACGCAGCCGGGCGAGACCGCGCCGAGGACCTGGCATGTCATGGCAAAAGGCGTCGGTGGTCAGATTAAGGAAACGGTCATCGAGCTAAGGTTCTGGTTGCCAGGGTCGGTGAGTTGGCTCAGGTTTTGATGATCGAATGTAAAGCACCGATGACATTGACATGGGAACGACGTTGGGCGACGGCGGGGGTGGCAAGGGGCAAGAACGCGCAGGCTTCCCGCAGGCTGGTTGGGCGGCCGAACCAGGGGTGGTGGTGCATGGCGCACGTGTCGGGGCTGCTGGGCCGCATGTGTGCGAAGCTGCGACGGCGTGCAAGGTCAAAGGGGCGCAGCCCGTGTTTGACTGGCGAGCATGCGCCCAGGCGCTCAGCACGGAAGGTCGCTGACCGGGAAACAGGCCGGGTGGGCCGCCGCCGCTGCAAATCCGTTCTTGCAAATCCGCACCTGCAGCACCGCCACGCCGGTCGCCAAGGAAGGGTCCCTGAAACTGCCGAACAGCCGCGGCGCGCCCATCCCACCCGGCCCCGACGCATCCGCCTCCGCGCCCGCCCGTGGCGGCAGCGGCAGCGGCGGCACGGCAGCTGCCGGGCGCCTTCCTGCTAGAGGGTCGTCGCCCAACACAAGCTCCTGCACTCGCAGCTGCCCGTCCTCCTCCTCCTGCTGCTGCTGCTGCTGCTGCAATGCCTGTTTGTCTTCCGCCGCTGCCGGCACCCAGGGTCCCTGCAACCCCAGCATCTTGCCATTGGCCCAAGCGATGATGTCACCCTCCGTCACCCTCAGAGGCCGCCGCCGCTGCTTGATGGAGCTGGAACCAAACACCAGGCTGCCGCCGACGCCGCCGCCCGCCGACGACCGCGCCCCCCGCGGCGTCCCCGCGCCGCTGCCCCCGCAGCTGCCGCCGCCGGGCGCGCCGCCGCCCGCGCTCGCGCCGCCGCCGCAGAAGCTGCTGGTGCGGCCGGCGCGCGGAGGGGAGGGGTGGCCGGATGCGGCGGAGGCGGAGACGACAGCAGCGGCGGCCTTGACGGCGGCCGCGGCGTCGGCGGCAGATGCGCTGATCATGTGATGCAGGTGGCTGCTCATCCTTTCCGCGCCTGGCGCATCCGCGCCGTCCCCGCTGCCGCTGCCCTCCCCGCCGTCGCTGCTGCGCGGCGCGCGCTCCGCGCCGCCGCTTTTGTCGGGCGGCCCCGGCGTCCCCGGCGCCGGGGGGTCCTTCGGCGCCCCCGCGCCGCGCGGGGTCGGCAGCAGCGGCAACGCGGGGGGGCCGCCGCCCGCCGACAGCGGTGCCGCCGAACGCGGCGTCGACAAGGGCTGCGGCGCCTCGTCAGCATTGCGGTCGTCATCGTCGCCGCCCAGTGACTCAAGGACCTGCAGCGCGCAGCGTAAGCGTTGCTCATTGCTTGTCAACTAATACGATCCAAGGTAGGGTGGAGACTAGAGGCGTTTCAGTAAACCTTTCCTTGATTAATTCCTTTTCCCCTCGTTGCTGGCGAGGGTCTGACGTGACACCATTCTAAGGTAATGTAGGGTGGGCGTCGGCGGCCCTGCGGCGTCATGCGCCGCACCGCGTGCCTGCACAGTACCCAGTCACCTGACTGACAGCTATCACCGAGCCCCAGACCACCGCTCAGATCACAGCACTCCCCACAAAGCCTAGAATTACCAGCTCAGATGTTAGATCACGAATCTCAGATCGTACCTGCAGGACATGGAATCGCATGAGCTGGTAGACCAGCGAAAGGATGGGCTTCCGCCGCCCTGCTATGATGTCATGTGGCCTGTTGAGCGGCACAGGTGGCGCGATACAGTGTTAGCACTGCTGTCAACAGCATTTGGCTCATGGTTGACCTCGATTCGAATTGAGAAACACAAAGTGAAACTGCGCGGGCGGCTGCAGCGCCCAAGCGGGCAGCCAGGCGACGGCTGGGCCAAGGTGGCGAGCAGCCAGGTGCACAGCGCGCTGCTACCACTGACGGAAGGTTCCTTCCGCGCCAAGGAGGCCGCTGAGCTGGCGAGATCATCGCGATCCGCGGCCCCATCTAATGACCCACTCAGCGCATGCCAACGCGAGGAGTGGGGGCGCGCGTGCGCGCACCCCATGGACACGAGCCGCAGCCCCAGCGCCTCCTGCGCCGTCTCCAGCAGCAGCCCGCAGTTCTCCAGCCCGCGCGGCAGGCCGCCCGCGTCCCGGCGGAACGGCGGGCGGTTGGCGAGCGCCCAGTTGACGCAGCCGGGCTGCGAAGGGGCGGCACGGTCGGCCGCAGCGGCCGTCAGATTGGTTGATGATCTCGAACATTGTAAGTGTTCCCAATCACAGCTGGCTTTGCTGCCGCGTCGACCGCTCCCTCGCCAGCCTGCAATAACTTGACATCGACACGTCTACGAAGCCAAGCGCGGCGATCACACCAGGTTTGACCGGATCGTTCGACCCGGTCCCAGATCATCCGCTCACCTGCAGGTGGTCGAGCACCTCGAGCAGCAGCCAGCCGCTGCGCACCTCCGGCCCAAACAGGCTGGTGCATTTGGTGGGCAGGCCCAGGGAGTTGAGCCACATGCGGAAGGCTAGCTCCTCCTGGCTGATCCCCGGGTCCTCCTCCGCCTCCACCTCGTCCTGGTCAAAGCAAATGTTTGACCACGCGCCGCTGCCGCTGCTGCCGCCGCCCTCCAGCGCCCCCGGGCTGCCGCCGCCGGCGCTGGGGCGCGGGAGGGGCCGCACGGGTGGGGCAGCCGAGGGCGGGCGGCAGGGCGAGCGGGGGCCGGGCGGCGGCGAGGGCGGCGCGAGGGGCGGGGTGGGGTCGAGCGGCTCCGCTGCTGAACTGACAACGCCATCGCCTGCTGCTGCTGCTGCTGCTGCTGTTGCTGCTGCCGCTGCTGACGCCGCTGCATCTGAGAGCCTGGGGTGAGCTGTTGTGGCTGTGCCCATGGAGCCTGGCCCTTCCCCATCCTGACTGGGGCTGGGGTCTGTTGTGAGCCCATCACCGGGTGACAATCTCTGTTGCGGCAGAGATGGGCTTAGCCCTGTGGTTGTTGGTTGTGTTTGTGTACATGTGTACGTGCATGTGTGTGTGTACATGAGTTTGCATGTGCGTGTGTGTGTGTGTGTGCGGGGGTGTATTGTTGATGCTGGTGGCCGCGTGGTGCGGTGCCGCAGCACAGGGGATTGGCAGCAAGTGCGCGTGCCGCAGACATTTGCTTGGCACTGAGGGAGCTGCCTTGTGGGCAGCCATGCAGCTGGGCCAATAATTGTTCAGTTTGCTGGATCTGATGCTCAGCCACGCATGATGGGCGCACAACGGCGAAGCATCGCTCCGGCCCATGGCCGCAAATGAGTGGCGCCTGGCGGCTGGATGTGTGCGCGCAGAGGCCCACCTTGGGGTGGCCCCTCCTGTGTGTCAGCCGGCGCCCCATGCCCAGCAGCCGCGAGCACCGTAGTGCGCGTGCGAAGCTCATAGCTGTATCCCGTCAGCCACTCGCGCTGCTGCGGGCGGGCGCCGCCGCTGGTGCAGCACAGCTCGACTTCGTCGCTGTCATGGCGCGAACCGCCGCCGCTGAACAGCGCACGCAGCATTCACTGCACGGTTTTGGATGCAACACCGTGTATCCCAAGGTTTTAGTTATGGCGGCTGCATGTGCCACTGATGCGCGTTTTGCTCGTGTGCTGCAGCACGGAGAAGTGGTCCCAAACAATTTGCTGAGCACAGCTGCCTCCCATGCTAATACAAACGATATGTTGTGTCTGGACTGTGACTGCGATCGAGCCCACCAACAGGACACCAACCACACACGAAGCTGCACACCGTCGCCAAGCCAGTCATCAGCACTTCCGCATGCGCAGGCGACCCTGGGACGTGCAAGCAGCTTGCCCAATCCTAGTTTCTGAGGCTTGTTGCGCCATAGTCCCATAGAGAGCCAGCCTGCACCAGATCGCCCCACATTCTGATCTTGCCGCCTCTTCGCGCAGTCAGCATCACTGGGGCCACGACGTTAATCAAGGTGTTCTGAGTAGTGCTATAGTTGGCGGGACGCAATGGACGGCCGTGGCGCGGGGAGTGCCCTCGGGCCCCGACTGCTGGGCCGCCTCACTGCGGAGCTGATCGGCCGCAGCCCGCAGTACATGAGCTGCATCTCATATTATGAGATCGATCTGCGGGGTGAGACGGGCGTGCTCTCACTCAAAGCGGAACGCAGAACATCGCACACCGCGCCCTACACCATGCCGCAGCAGCATCGCCGCACGTGCGTTTCACCGCCGGCGCTTCAACATGACGCGCCATCGCCCCGCAGGCAACAAAATAGGCGCGATAGAGAACCTTGGGGCTACCGAGGTGCGCACCCAATCAAGGTCCAACCATGCCCACCCCCTTGAAACTCGTTTTGGCTGTGGATCACGTATTACATCTGCACAGTCAGCTGCTCGCCACATCATTTTCTCCAGCAAGTTCACCTTAAATAGTACCCCGCCGCATGCGTCTCGCCTCGCACGCGCGCACACGCACGCGCCCCCGCAGAACCAGTTTGACTCGATCGACCTGTCAGACAACGCCATCGTACGCCTGGAGGGCTTCTCGCGTCTGCCGCGCCTGAAGGTGCTGTATCTCAACAACAACCGCGTCGCCAAGATTGCGCGCAACCTGCAGGGTGGGCGACAACGATTGGGGGGCGCGCTGCCAGCGTCGCGGCACAGCTGGCTGCCCGGGGGCGAGTAGGGGCCGAGTTTGGGGGCAGGCGGCCGCCCCGACGCAGCCGCAGAGCAGGCGGCTGTGTGCGCAGCAGTTCAGAATGTCAACCAAAAGCAGTTGCTGCCTGGTGTGGTGGGCGCGTGCCTTAGTGGCTGCGACATGCGTTGTGTTTTCAGGCGGCAGCTTTGCCAGCGTCATCGCTATCGCCGCTGCAATTGTGTGATTGTCGGCGCCCGTCGATGATACCTCTTCCCCGCAGAGTCAATAGCAAACCTGGAGACCCTGATATTGACCAACAACCGCATCGCCGAGCTGAAGGTGCGGGGAAGCCGGGGCACAGCTTCCGCCCGCCTTACCACTGTCCGGGCGGTCAGCGGCGCCGTCATCAATGAGTTGCTTGTCAACTAATAGCAGGCCTGTGGGAGGCGCGCGCCTGGGCAGCGGGTGTGGCAACGCAGACAGCATTTGCGCAATCCTGTGCGCGGCAGCGGCGGCGGCGGCGGCGCGATGACAGCAGGCGTGGGGCAGTAGGAATGAGCAGCTGCGGCGGCAGCAGCAGCAGCAGCAGCAGGCAGCAGCGGCAGCGGCGGCAGCAGCGGCGGCAGCAGCGGCAGCAGCGGCAGCAACAAATGCAGCACATGCAGCAAAAGCAGCAGAAACAGCAGACGCAGCAAAAGCATCAAAGCAGCAGCGGCAGCAGCGGCAGCAGCGGCAGCAGCGGCAGCAGCGGCAGCGGCGGCAGCGGCGGCAGCGGCGGCAGCAGCGGCAGCAGCAATGGCAGGAGCTCAGGCGCTGGCCAAAAGAAGCTGTGGCTGCACGGCCCATGGGCGCAAACACACGCAGCTGCGACCGGCCGCCCCACAGCATCAGGTGCTTCGTGTGATCGACGCCCCTCCCCCCCCCCCCACACACACACCGCCAGGACATCGACCCGCTGGCGACGTTCCCTCGGCTCACACACCTCAGCCTGGTGGGCAACCCTGTCGCCTTGAAGGGCCAATACAGGTGAGCGGGGACGGCCCAGGCACACGCGCTCGCGCATGCGAGCGCGCGCATGCGTGTGGCGTCCGAGCAGAAGCCGCACTCATGGGTGCATGTGCGTGTGTGGACATAGCTCTGCGCGCGCATGCACCTGTGCGCGCACACCCCGGGTGGGTGACGGCCCAGGCGCTTCTACGAGGGCGGCGGCCTAGCGCAGCGAGGCACTTGGGGCAGCCGCCGGCGGAGGCATTGAGCATAGAGGTGGCAGGCTGCCCTGAATCGCGGCCTCGGCGCGCTGCCGATGCGAGCCACTGAACTGAACGCGTGGCCGTTGCTCTCGCGCAGGCTGTACACCATCGCGCGGCTGCCCAAGCTCAAAGTGCTCGATTTTAAGAAGGTCAAGCAAAAGGTGGGCAGAGATTGGTTTGAGTACGAATGAACCTACTTTGCAAGGGGCGCAGACGGTGACACAGGTCGCCGCCTGGAGGCGAGCTTTTCAAGGGTGTGTGTGCCGAGAGCAGGCTGCGGCCAAGCTTGGCCGTCGTCGCCAGGGGGCGCCTGCCGCGTCAGCCGCGCTTCACTCTTGCGCCAGGCCGGCCAATTTCATTCCCCGCTGGCACAACCTCGCGTTGCCGGCGCCTTGCTCAGGAGCGGGAAGCCGCGGCGAAGCTGGCGGCGGACGGGCTAGGGGCGGTGGCGAGCGCCTCGAAAACGTTTGAGCCTGGGGAGGGCCTGGAGGCGACCAATGGCAGCGCAACCGCAGAGGAGGCAGCGGCGGCGGCGGAGGCGCCCCGCGCGTCCGCGGCGCCGACGGCTGAGCAGCTTACGGCGATCAAGGCGGCGATCGCAAACGCGCAGACACTGGAGGAGGCGGAGAGGCTGGAGGCGGCGCTCAGGGAGGGGAAGCTTCCCTCTGAGCTGGCGGCGGCGGGCGGCGGCGGCGGTGGTGGGCAGCAGCAAGAGCAGGAGCAGGGGCAGCAGCAGAATGGGGAGGCGATGGAGGAAGGCTGAGGGCAGCGGGAGGGGTGGGAAGCAACGGCAGCGTTGGCAGCGTGGCGGTTGCCAGTTGCGCGCCACGCACAGCTTGTTCTGCGTGCAGCACGCCGCTATATCGCGCCTGCGATACCAAGGAATCCGTTTTCGACTCTGAAGCATGCACAACCATGTAAAGTGCACGCGCCTCTGTGTGAGGATGCAGGCAGGGTGGCTGGGTGCATGGGTCCAGGTGTGAATGGGATGGCACTTGTGACACTGGGCGGCAAGCACGCCATGCCGTTGCGGCAATGAGATATCATGAGCACCGTGCTTAAGCATAAGTAACATCTATACGATTACAATGAGCAGTTTTGTAAAACCTGGGCTACCACAAATGCAATGCTGGCGACGTTCACGGCTGATCTCAGCTTCACGCGCAGACGGCTTTTCAACCTACTACTCCGTGAATCTCAACGTCAGAGCTATGTCGTGGCAGCTGGCCATGAGTCCGCAGGCAGTGACGGCGATGCGCCGGGAGGTGATGTTGACATTCAACCTAGGCCGCCGCAGTCGCAGCACGACACGCAGGCGAGGCGGCCCCGCAGCACGAGCAGCGGCCAGGTGGCGCTGGTGCAGCTGTACCCGCAGCAGCGCAGTTGGCTGTCGCCCAGACACCAGCGGGCGCGGCAGCAGCAGCAACAGCAGCTGCCCGGAGCGGCCTCGCCACACGAGGTGGCGCAGCCGCGGCCCGCTCCCCAAGCGCGTGTCGAGCATCAAACAGTCGACGACCCCATCCCAGGACTCGATCGGATGGCGGAGACGCACAAGCAGCTTGCTCAATCGTCAACCAGGCACCAGCTGCAGCCAGCTCCCAAGCAGTATTCGGGCCGGCTCGCGCCGCCGGCGGGCGGCCCGCCGCAGCGGGCCGGTACCGGGCCGGCGTGCCCTGGGGTCCAGCGGCGGCAGCGGCCGCAGGATGCGCGGGCGCTGAAGCAGCTGTTGGAAGGGGCGCGGTCCCTCGGCGACCTCTCCCGACTCGTCGAGGCGATTCCGCGCGCCCCTGCGC